AACGTTGGCTGGCATTTCGATGGAGAATATTTCGTTATAGCTCGCATTCCATAGATCGGGGCCGAGAACGGAGCCCTGTGCTGCACCGGAAGAAGTCTTCTTGGTTTTCATGCCGTTACGTGTGTGGTAGAGAAGTTCTCTATCGCTAAGGTAACTGCGAATCATTTGCATTACGTACACAGATGTACTAAAACGCCTTTCTATGACGTTGATCACATCAACCCATTGAAGGCTGTTGAACGCGTAACGGATGTCTAGAGCCGCCAGAAGGACTATACGCTTCAAGTAGGCATTGCCACGCTGTGCAGCAGAGGGCGTCTGCTGTCTTGCTTCGGTGCATGTTTGCTTGCAGAAGTCTTGTCATTTCTGGGTTTTAACCGATGTACATTTGGCAGATGCGGCGATGTGATCAACGGTTTTAAGGCCAGCGTCAGAACATATGCAGCACTTTGGAGGGATCGTGCAATTCTTTAATTTGTGTCCAGGTTTACCACATTTGATGCAAAGATTCGTTCTGTCTGGACCCTTGCAGTTTCTTTGAATATGTCCTACGCCACGGCACCTGAAACAGCGCTTAGTTTCAGTACGCATCCGCATTTTCGCTCTGATCCATCCAATAGTGATTGAGCCTGCTTCGAGAAGTTTTACCGCTGCTGTAGTTGGGAGTTGCACATAAGCTCTGATCAATTCTCGATTGTTCGGTTTAGTGACCATGGCTTTCAATCGATCAATTCCATTTGGAAGGATTCGTTTGACTGCTTCTTCGACTTCAGCAGTTGTCGTGAGTGCATCAAGGTCCCTTATCTCTATTGTGGTTGTCGGTGTTAGCCCGGTTACCTCCACTGTTTCCTGCAAAGCGCTCCTAATTTTTTCGCAGAACTCTAGGCTTGCCTTGGTCTCTTTATCAAGCTCTAGTAACATAGCTCCCGACATTGTCTTCCGAACTGCGCGAATTTTGACTTCCGAAGGTTTTTTAAAATATCCGCGTAGGTTTGGCTTCCCGTTGGTTTTATAAGGAAGGCTTCTGTCTTCGGACCCATGTCCTTGTTTGATCTGGTCCTCCTGCTTATGCCTCTATCTTCCTCGTAGTCTTTGACTGTTTCTTCGTGTCAGCAGCTGTTTTCACTTGTCCCTTCGAGGTGGCAGGGGTATCATTTTTTTGTTTCGCGTTTGCCTTTGGGCTTTTAGGCTTCTTCCGATTTACGGTTTGCCATTCTTCGAATCTGTCTTCTAGAATCTTTTTGGCGCTCTCATTCTCTGTTGTTTGCGCCACTGGGCTTGTTACCACACGCTTTTGTCATTGCACGTTCGGTGTGGCAGTCAGAATAGTTTCTTTTCGCAGTTTTTCTCTTTTTTCTACTGCCTTAACCCAACCTTGGTGGAAAAAGGTCATCAAATCAAATTGCGTTTGCAGTTCATGAACGCCCTCTTTAATGTCACTCGAGACATTTCTTTGCCGATTTATGACTTGCTTTATTTTGTTAAGGGCGGTTACGCATTTTTCAAATGTCTTCGCCTCTTCTTTCTTCGTACTCATTTCCCGGTGAAATGAGCACACCATTCGTTTTTTGAACACCTTTGGCGTGCCCTCGTCCATTGCGGACTTCCTTAGGCCATCTTGTATTGGTACTTGCACATTCACACCATTCGTTTTTTGTGACACCTTTGGCGTGCCCTCGTCCATTGTGGACTTTCTTAGACCTTCTTGTACTGACACTTCCGCTGACATTTGTGTTTTGTGATTTTTGGGTCCAAACTCCTAGTCGCTATCGATGTTCGATTATATAGTCGCTCAAAACGATCCCCATGGTTATCTATGCAAAGCAGGGAGGCCATGTGAGGGTTGACACAATTCCTCTTATGGGAGATTGTGTTCAGAGCCAGGATCTGGCACAGGTCAGGAGTACTCTCAACTGAACCTACACCACCAACTCAATGGTCACGAGACATCGAACGTACTTGGAGACTTGCCAAGTTCTAAAAGGACGGAGGAAGATGTGGCATTAACCTGAAAGCCATTTCTATGAAATGTCACTCTCATATACTCAGGTAACAGAATACCACGTCCGCCAGCCCGAAAATCATCATTGTTGTACGACAGGCATACCTTACCGCGGAAATATTCTAACCCCTATCCCGCAGGGGGTAATAGACATTGCATTACATTATACATTACAAAGAAAATTGAGGTGTTAAGTGACTTTATATAATTGTAACTAATTTTTGATGTTGAAATCAGAGAAAAACTTTATAAACTGAAGTTAATATCAAAAGAAAAATTTATTTTTGTTATTTTTATTATTTGTTTTTTGTTCCTTTTTGATACGAAACTGATTAATATAATTTTATAGAACACAATCTAAAGGTGTATGTAATAGAAAAAAAAAGGAAAAAATAAAATTGTCAAAATTTGCATATATTACATTTATAAAGAAACAAATACTTAAGAGAAAATAGAAAACATAAGTTTTTGTCTTGATAATATATATATATATTTTTTTCCTAAAATTTGTTTGAAAGTTTTTAGCTAGGTCAACAGCAGCTCGAGTGACTTCATTTCTACGGCTGTGAAAAAGAAAATTTAGTATCTTTTTTCAATTTATACGTTTCCTCATGTTATTTTTTTTTTATCGGTATTTTTTTTTTATTTCCATTTCGTTGATTTAACCGGCCTCTTGCCTTGAAATTCCGCTCTCTCTTTGTCTACTTAATTTTTTTTTTTTCATTTTTTTTTTATTGTTAAGTTCAATAGTTTCCTTTAGACATATATATACATTGTTTGAGTATTGTTATTATAGTCATGATATATGTAAAAAATATGATTTTTGGTTAAATATAAAAGAAATAAGGAATATTGTAAATTTTTATTTTATTATCATATATAAAGTATAAAATAAAGATATTGTTGAACTATCTATATGTTATGATCCCAACCTTCCTCAAACGGTAGTCAGCACAAAAAAAGATTAATGCGAATATTTGACGTAAGGCTACACAAACTGTTATTTGTTCTATATTTAGAATATATTTTTCATCACATCTTAGTTTTGCTTGCAATAGAAATATGCATTAATTGCTAATTATTTGTCATTAGTAGGACTAATTTATATGCAAAGAAACTATTAGTTTTACTATTTTCAGATTATTATATAAAGTTAATTCACTTAATTTTATATTATATTCTATACTTAATTGTTCTTTCAACAGTATTGTTATATCAAAATCCAATCTTTAATATTACAAAATTAATTCACTTATTCCTATTTTATATTCTATACTTAATTGTTCTTCTTAACAATATTGTTATATCAAAATCCAATCTTTAATATTAGCTGCGTTTCAGCAAACATGATCCGCTCAATTTTACATGCAAAACAAAAACAATGGGGTGAACCAGCAATTGATCTGGTTCAATTTCTGGTTCAATGTGGAATGTATATAAAAGATAAAAATGGAACGTATTTTAATGCAAATGTGGTTGGCAATGCGATTTTAACATATGATACGGTGACTTAGAAAATATAAAGAAAACAACAAGTGAAAACCTGGAGTTTGGCGGCAAATAGTTGAGTTTTATTTTTATTTATAAAATTAATGATATTTTCAAATTTAAATTATAGTGAGAGGCGCAATTGGACAAAAGAGGAAACAAGGGCGTTACTGCTTTCCTATCAGAGCAGGAAAGATGAATTCGAAAATCATCGGCGTAAAAAATACGCTATGCAGAACGTTCTGCTTGATTTAGAAGCACAAGGGATATTGGTATGTATTTGCATTAGGTGTAAAAACTTTTTTTTTATAAGTAGTTAAAAGGCTCAGCCCACCACTGTGGAAATGCTGCAAGCTAAAATTAAAAATCTTTTGCAAGCATTTAAAGCTTCAAAAGATAATAGGAAGCAAAGTGGTGCTTCACCTTGCCCAGCGCCCTATGAAGACCTCATGGAAGAAATATTTGGAAAAAGCCCAATGATTGCAAACTCGCATACTTTAAATTTAAGTGGTAATCAAATAACCGCATTGCCTGCAGATGGTTAGTACCAGAGTTAAAGCACACCTACATGTATATATTTAGTGTTTTGTGAGTCTTATAGTTGTTAATTGTGGTGACTTGTTTTTTGTCAAAATTTCAGTGAGCTAAAATCTATTGCTAAATACAGACGACAAAGCTTGTGTTGTGTTTCAATTTATACAAACTTTAGCAAATGAATTATGTAATATATTTTTCTGATGCATTCCTCTTTTAATAAATATAGATTAATTATTTTAATTGTATGTTTTTCAGAGATTCCAGGACCGTCTCGTAAAAGGCAATTGTCGCCATGCAACAATACTCCACCTGAAAAATCAAAAACAGTGCAAGAATATGCTGCCAAAAAAATAAAAATTCTGGAGGAATATACTCAAAGGAAATTGGAGTTAAAAGAAGAGGCGCTTAAAATGAAATCAGAGCAGCACAAGGAAAAAATGAAGCTGTTGGAAAAAATAGCTAATAACGCGCCCTCCAAATAAATTTTAAGTTTATTTTAAGTTATATGTTTGTTCGTCATATTAATTTATTAAAATTATGTATTTATATATTTATTTCTTGTTTATTTGAATATATTTATTTTATTTTATTTATTTATTTATTTTATTTTATTTATTTTATTTGTTATTTATTTTATTTATTATTTATTTTATTTATTATTTATTTTATTTATTATTTGCTAGTATTTATATTTTATTTATCTATTTATTTAATTGTAATTATTTATTTCCTTATATTATATATTTGAAGTAATGTTTTAATTATTACTGTAATAATAATTATTGTTTTTATTATTCATGTTGTGTTATTATTGAAAATTCTTATTGTTTTTTTGTTAATTTATTAAAAAAAAGTAAATTCAAATGAATATTTAAAACTTTAATTAAATTCTTTTATTTAATTAAAACACAATACATAATTTACTTGTGGAATAAAGCAATTGTAAATAAATGAAAATAAAATGATTCGATGTTAAGATGTTATGATTCCAGTTTCAATTAAATATTGTAAAACTGAACTCCGTCTGTTATCCACTTCAAAATTTTGCGTATTTATTATAAGAAGATATCTTCGCTCGAATATACATTTTGGGTAAATTCATTATCAATTTCATCATTTTGCGAACAACATATATTATGCAATATGCACGCACACATAATTAAATTTGTTATCGCAGGAGTTCTTTGCTGTTCCATGAAGTGCAAGAGTCGACGAAACCTAGTTTTCATACGCCCAAAAGCATCTTCGATAACAATTCTTGCCTGCGAATGCATTACATTGAATTGTCTTTGGGCAGAAGACAAAGAACCATTATCTTTAAATGGACTTACAAGCCAATTTAAATTGGGATATGCAGAATCTCCTAATATAAAAGAACCATTGAGGAATTTGCTTGGCAATGAAGCTGTACTATATAGTTGTGATCTACGTAATACTCGGCAGTCATGCAAGGAACCAGGCTCTCCAACACACACATCTATAAACAGACCATTTGCATCGCAAACGGCCTGTAAGATTAAGCTATAATAATGTTTCCTATTGAAATAAGCCTCCTCGCTATGATGTGGTGCATTTATTTTTATATGGGTGCTATCTATGCAACCAATCACAAACGGAAATTTCTTCGTGGCTTCCACTTTTGCCATATTAGCAAATGCTTCGGACGTATTTGGCCATTTTATAAATTCATGTCCAATTGATATGAGCCAAACACTAGTTCTTTCAACTATTCTCCAGGCTGAAGCTTTGGATATACCGAAACAAATACCAATTTCGCGAAAAGTATTTGTATTCGCCATATACCACAAAAAAATGTAAATCTCCTTCCCTGCACTTGTCCGATTGTGACCACCACGATCATTTTGTTGTTGCTGATTGGAATTTATATACAAATCTATTGAAAAATAAAATATAATTAATTAATAGTAATTGTATTTTTTATGCGCACATACCAATCAAATAATTTGTAGTACTTCTTTTAAGCCTAAAGTTTTTTCTGAAGTCTTCATCAGAAAAATTATTAATCCATTCAACAAAATTTTTACTATATTCATGCTGATGCACTTCATCCTCTGAGCTTATTACACTAGAACTAGTGTTTAGAAATGCAATAGAAGAGTCGGTTTCGCTTTCACTTGATGATTCTAATAAGATCTGTAATTTCAATTTATTTCATACAGAATTAAATTTAAGTTTTAAAGTAAATACTAAACAAAAACTTACATTTAATAGTTCAGACATTTCAAAAATTTTATTATTTTTTTTTGTATTTTTCAAAATTTTTTATATTTAAATTATTTCACTTATTCTTTTAGCGCCAAAATTATTCACACGAATCAAAAAAAAATTTTGTAAACAAACACATCTGACATAATTCACGCGTTGCCAATTACTTTCATACGTGATCCGTATCGTTTCAGCAAAGATGATTCAAATCATTGAGCGAATCATGTTTGTTGAAACGCAGCTATTATTAAATTATTTCACTTAGTTTTATTTTATAAAAATCTTTACTCGTTTTTTTGTGCTGAAGCAAAACCAACTGTTCTACCTTTCTCAAAAACAAAAACCGTATGCCTTACCCCAAGTTTAGAATATTTACCGATCCCAAATTTGGTGTAAACGACTACCAATAATTCTATTCGCATGCAAATATCACGCCATACAGCTATTACTACAGACTCCAGGGCAGTTTACAATATAAAATTTATATACTAATACTATATTAATATATCAACATTAATATACATATTTCAATATCAATTACCTAAGTTCTCCAATTCACAACATATATATAAAACAAAAAAATATATATATATTTACATTCTAATTTTTTATTATTAATTTTTTTATTATTTTCTTTATTATTTGTTTTTGAATAATTGAAATAATATATATATAATAATATATATTGAATTATATATTTATAAAGAAAGTACATGAAAATTTTTTATTTTATTTTATTTTATGTCTTTGTTAATGATTAGTATCAATAATTAAAAGAAAAAAAATAAAAGAAGAAAAAACTGTTAACCCAATTGAACTATATGAAAATTTATTTTGTAGTTTTGTGAAGTCGTCGAGCAATTCTTCGGTATTTACTCAAGCTGCAGTTAAATTTCTAAGTATCACTGAAATCATTATGATGCTTTAAGAGTCTTAAATAAAGGGGGTGGTATTACTTTTTTGATCACATTGTCCTTCTAAGGCAGAGCTACACGTCACTTGAATTTTTTTTACTTCATTCTTTTTTTGAGAGTTTTTTTGTTTGCTGCTTTGGCTTAGTTTGTTTTTTTATTTCTTTTTTGATATTACCAATGATTTATATGGCAATTACAGTGAATCGTGATACAGATATTCGAAGATATAATGATGCAACTCGAACTGATGTTGCGGTTATATTTACGACTGTAGATGGTGAACCACCATTTAAGAGAAGTTTATATCTTTTTCAAAAACAAATGGTGTCATTTGGCTAATGATGAAAGGGTGTTCACGAAAAATATTGTTTACACTGAATTTTTGAGAATTTTTTTTTACAAAATATAAAATTATTTTAACATTGTTAATAAATTGTGTTTTCTATTGGTCTATTTTCGACGAAATTCGACGAAGCTCATATAGAAACGTTCTGTATTATACAAAAGGTATTTGTAAAAGAATACCCTCCACCACAACCAGCTCCAGTAATTGTACTAATGCCAAAACCATTAATCTAACTTCTCTTCCTATTCCCACGCTTTCTGGAAAATGCAACGATACTCATTTCGATACTCATACACAATTCAAGTTTGCAATTGAAAATAACAAGTCGTGGTTTTGTTGTTGTCCGCGTTTTTTATGGTAAAAGTCTAAAACTTGCTGGAAATAATTGTTGAAGTTGTAATTAACTTGATAGAATTTGAGAATAGTCACCAAGAATTATGGATTTTTGCGCCGGGCGTGTTAAATTTTATTAAAATCGAACTTAATAAATTGTGCTGCTAGCCAAATAAATTATTTCCTTTGCAAAATAATTCGCGCGTTTTTAAATTTGATTTGATTTGTTTTTATACACATACTTAAAACAGCTGATAGAGACAGCAATTAAAGCTTTAAAGCTCGAAATATAAATAAAAATAAGTGTTGTGAAACGTACATTCTTTTTTCACAAAAAGCAATTGTTAAGTGTAATTGAATAAATCAAAGGAACTATAGTCTACTGGTAAAGTCAGTTAATATCAAATTCATTTTTTAAAATATTGTTTTAAATAAATAAAATATATGACTTAAATATGAAAGAATGCCATAAGTGTCATTTAGGAATCCGTGGTAAGACGGGTCTGATATGTTCAGGTGTGTGTGGTCATGTATATCACACTGCTCCAAAATGTTCAGGAGTAGAATAATTCAATATAAATATTTTAAATAATAAAACGATACATTTTATATGTGAAGACTGTGTGCAATACATACATAATGTAGACTTTGCTTTAATAGAAATGCAAGAAAGTGTAACTAAAAATACGAACATTTTAAAAGAATACAAAAGCGAATTCAAGGAATCACTAAAAATTAATGAAAGTGAAATTAAATCTTTACTAAAAGCAATTGAATCTAAGTGTTCCGACAGAGTCACCTCTCTTATGGCAGTACAAGAAAAATATGAAAAAAAATTGGCTTCGTTTGAGCAAAAAATAATAGACTTGTCTGATAATTTGACTAAAAATGGCAAGGAATTAGGTGCTGAATTGGTAAAAATCATCAAAAATAATGAAATTCAAAGCGAAACGTGCGCCGCGAAATTAAAGATGAAAAACAATCCAAATATTCCAATAACGCTAAAACCTAAAAATAAGCAATTAAGTGAAGCAACTAAAAATGATTTAAAAACTAAAATAAATCCATCAGAGCTTAATGTTAAAGTTTGTGGTGTTCATTCTAAACATGATGGAAGGGTAACAATAAAGTGTGTAACCTCAAAAGAGAGAGAAATTCTTGCAAAAGAAATTAAAAAGAAATTAGGTAAGAACTATGAAATTGAGACACCTGCTATGCGAAACCCTAAAATCCTTATTACCGGCATGAGCGAGCGTTTGGAAAATGATAAATTTCTCCAAGCAATAAGAAATCGAAACAATATGGAGATTAAATATATAAAAGTCTTGAAAATATATGAGTCGTTCAAAAATAAAAACATTTTTAACGCGTTAGTTGAATTAGATGGCATAGCTTTCAAGCAAGTTATGAGTGTTCGTAGACTTAATATTGGCTGGGAACGATGCAAAGTGTACGAAAACTTGAATGTAATGCGATGCCACAAGTGCTGGGGTTTTAACCATAAAGCGTCTGTTTGTAAGGAAAGTGAGCATGTATGTGCAAAATGCGGTGAAGCTGGCCACATATACAAAGAATGTAAAAGCAGCGTTCTAAGATGTGTAAACTGTATCAAAGCCAAGAAAAATCTAAATCTGAATGATCTCGACATAGACCATGATTCCAGGGATCTAATATGTAAAACCTTACAAAGAAAACTTAGACTGGAAGCTGAAATGACTGATTATCAACTTTGATGGACCACAAAACTTTGTTAAATATATTTAGTAAACAAAATTGCGGTCTTAATATGGTACATTTTAATGCTAGAAGCCTAACTGATCTGAAATTTGACTACATTAAGACTGTTTTTGAAAACTCCATCATATGCGTTTCGGAAACTTGGTTTAATAGCGACATCAGTAGCTTATTTCTGTCAATGAACAATTATATTTTATACCGCCATGATAGGAGGCAAAGGAGAGGAGGCGGGGTGGCAATTTATTGCAAGTCTCATTTAAAAAGTAATTTGGTATGTATATCTGGTGAGTCCGACATTGAATTCGTTGTTATAAGCATCAATGTTGGTTTTCAGAAAATATTGGTGGGGTGCGTGTATAATTCACACAAACGCTTTAGTTGCGATCCATTTTTTGATTCACTGCAACCCATTGCGCTTAATTTCGACTTCTTAGCAGTACTTGGTGAATTCAATAATGATCTTCTCTCAAACTGTGGTAATGTTTCCCGTTTAAATGATCTTATTGCCATGTCGGGCTTAAGTATTGTCAATAGGACCATACCTAATAGATATGCCAATAATGTTAAGCCTAGTCTTCTGGACATAATTGCAGTTTCTGATATAAGCAAATTGTTGTTGTTTGAACAGATTTGTTTCAGTTGTTTCAGATCATGACCTACTATTCATTACGCTTGACTTCAAGAAAACTAAAAAATCCATCTCAACTAGATTTTCTTTTTGGGATTACAAGTCAATTGATTCAGTGGGATTATTTTGTGAACTTTATTCAACTGAGTGGAATGAATGTTGGTCTGGTATTTCAGTTGATCAAAAATTAGATGCATTTAATAAAAAATTGCTTAGCCTTCGTCATCGGTATGTACCTTTTCGTACTATTACCGTCAATAATGTTTCTTGCCCATGGTTTAGTACTACAATAAAACGTTTTATTAATTTAAGAAATAGAAAATATGCAGTTTGGAAAAAGTACCCAACGGAATATAACTGGATGAAGTTTAGAATTGCTAGAAATGTAGCTGCTAGAACTGTTTTTAAGGCTAAGTCAGATTACTATGAATCTAAGCTTGGTGGTACTAAATCTACTAAAACCCTTTGGAATAATATCAAAATGCTTGGGGTTACAAGAAAAAGTAAAAATATATACAATATGGACCCAAATGCTCTAAATAACTTCTTTGTTTCTTCTGTAGAGGATAATGGTAGCTCTTCTTCAGTATTCTTTGATATGAATATTGTTGACGCTAATGAAGGCTTTAGTTTTTACTGCGTCAGTGAAGATATTGTTTTTAAGAATTTAATGAATATTAAGTCTAATGCTGTTGGGCTAGATGAAATTCCTCTTAAATTCATAAAGCTTATTTTACCATTCATAATATCTCCATTAACTCATATTATAAACTTTTGTATTACTACCTCTATTTTTCCAGTGGTATGGAAACAAGCTAAAGTTATTCCAACTGAGAAAAAAGTTAATGCTTCATTAGTTTCTGACTATCGACCTATCAGTATTCTTTCTTCTCTCTTTAAAGTGTGTGAGACTATAATGTCTGAACAGATTCGTAATCATCTAAACGTTTTTCATCTGCTACCTCCTTATCAATCTGGTTTCAGAAAAGGT